TCACTTTTATAAAAACCAAGAAATTCAATACTACTGGCTTTTTTCTTTTGCATTTCCTCTTTCTTATTCAGTATTATTTTGGTTGTAAAAATTAGATTCATCTCCCTTGTTTTCAAAAAATTCTTGTATTTTCAGGATTTGGGGTTTTATCTGCTATTGCTTGATTTTTCCCCCAAGATGTGCACCAGTCAATTAAAGCAGGTGTGCATCTGAGCCCCCTCATCACAATGAATTGCTGTGCCCACCCCACCCAGGTCCCACTGGGTGCTGCCGGGTTGGCCCTGCAAGGCTGTCAATGAGATGAGCACTCTGGAGTGCTGTGGCCTGAGGTCCTACGTGGGAACCCAGACATGCCCACCAGCCTCCTCCCCTTCCGTACTCAGGGAATTTGCTGACAGACCCATTTGTCACTGCAACTCCAGCACCCCCAGATTCCTTCCTTGGATTCACTTCTTAAATTCTGAAGTTACTTTTTGGCAAATTTTGCAGCACAGACATGACTGATGGGTTTCCCCAGCCTTCTTTGATCATAAGATTCTGGCTGTCAGGGAATTCTGGGTCACAGTGTTTTCCTTATGGGGTACTGGAGATGTTGCCTGGCTTCCTCTGCTGCCAGCAGGTGATTTTTTTTTAATCAGATTTCTTCTTATTCCCTCTGCTTGAAAGTGCTTAAGACTGAGATTCTTTTCTTCCCCCTTGAAACTTCAATTTGTGACAGGAAGGGCCTTAGAGGTGATTTCTAATCATTAATTTTGTGTGGAACTTGATGTATCCTCAATTAAAAGTTTCCGTACATAACATCACTGTCACTTTATTCCCATATGAACCGATGACTGTCATGCTAGAGCCATGCCCTTGAGACAAGTTCACAAACATGCTGTCAGTTTTGTCAGCTGTGAAGATCACGCTCACTTCTGTTCCACCGGGCCTCTGCTAGGCCCCTCCTTCTGCCAGGAGCATCCTTCTCTCTTCCCTGCACAGCAGGAACCAGCTCCCATGCTACCATTCTGTAGAGACAGCCAAGATCCACATGGGCCCACCTCATGGTATCTCTCACTTAAATTTTGTGTCATTGGTACCCCTCTGATCCCTGGCATGTGGTCATGATGGCACCCACCATTTGCACTGGTCACTCCTGATGCACCAGGCTCTCTTTAATCCTTGCTGCCAGCCACAGGTTTGGATAATCTCATTATCCCCAGTTAGGAAGTAAACCAAACCCGTGGTGGTGCTTGCCTATAATCACAGTGCTCAGAAAGGAGATTGAGGGCCGGGGAGATGGCTCAGTGGAATAAGCGCTTCCCTGGCAAGTGCAAGGGCCTGAGTTTGATCCCCGGTTCCGCAAAAAAAGAAAAAAGAAAAAGAAAGGAGATTGAGGCAGGAAGATCTCTGTGAGGTTGAGGCCAGCCTGGGCTACACAAGCAAGCTCAAGTCCAGTCTATACTATATAGTGACACCCTGTCTGCTTCAAAAATAATGAATAAATAATTAATAAATAAATAAAACCAGAGCTTCTTGGGGAGCTAGAGTACAAACCAGGAGTGCAGCTCTGACTTCTTTGGCAGCATGCTGAAGAGGAGGCACCACACTTGGCAGGAGAACCATGAGCCACCAGGTGCTATGAGGAGGGAGGCAGGCAATGGACAAGGCTTAGATAAGGGAAAGATTGGGCTGGGCTGAGCTCGGGGCAATTGGTGGGCATGACCAGGAGGGCTCTTTGGAACCCCATCTTGTGATCCAGTTGCAGTCCCTGGAAAGGCTGCTGCTCGGGACGCAGGGGCTTGCCCTGCGGGGCTGCTAATGCCTCCTCACCTCTCTCCTGCTGCAGCCTCAGCCTTCATCATCGCCATGCTGCTGGCCAGCCTCAACAGCTGCTGCAACCCCTGGATCTACATGCTCTTCACCGGCCACCTCTTCCACGAACTCGTGCAGCGCTTCCTCTGCTGCTCCGCCAGCCACCTGAGGGGCAGCCGGCCAGGAGAGACCAGCGTTAGCAAAAAGAGCAACTCCTCGACTTTCGTCCTAAGCCAGCGCAGCTCCAGCCAGAGGAGCTGTTCCCAGCCGTCCACAGCGTGACCTCTGGCCGGGAGGCGGGGTGGGGTGGGGGCTGCTCCTGAGCATGGGGTGTGCCGCCGCCGTTGACAGTCTGCCTTTGTGGCCCTTTGCGTGTGCATAAGGCACCCACTGGTTATTTCCTCCTGCACCTCGGGGTGGCTTGAGCTTGATGGGGGATTCTGAAGTGGGATTGGGGAAAATGCAGTGACAGCCATCAAACAAACCCCTGAGTCTCCCCGCATTCTGCTATCCTGATCCTACTGCTGTCCGGGCAGTGGCTGGGTTCTTTCTCCCCCTAGGCCTGTACCTTCATTCAGTATCCTTTTACTTCTATACTCTGAATCCTGTGAGAAAGAAAAAGTACAGGATTGTGGCTGACCAAGTCAGGGAGCCAGGGCTCTAGGTAAGGGATAAGGAGTGGAAATGGGGCCTCGGGAGAGGCTGGTAGTGATTTTCTGCTCACTGCAGTGTGCTTTGGCGGCAGTGCTCCTGGGGTGACCCTAGGAAGGGAACTATCTGGAAAGACTATCTGGAACAATGAGAACTTGGGCTGAAAATGTTGGAGACACTGTTTGATAAACATCTTTAAAAAAAAAAAGAAAGGAAAATATATTAAATTGGAAAAGAAGATGCAAAATTATTTGTAGATAACATTATTTTATATAGAGATGCTCTCACACACACACACACACACACACACACACGTTGGAACTAATAAGTGAGTTCAGCAAGGTTGTAGATGCAGTAACAATATACAAAAATCAATATATTTCTTTATACTATTGATAAGCAATATGAAAATGAAATTAAGAAACAATTCCATTTTTTTCTATTTATTATTTAGGGCAGGGTCTACAGGGTATACAGGGTCTCACTACATAGATCGGACTCGTAGTGATTCTCCCGTTTTCAGCTTCCCAAGTGCTGAGATCACAGGCACATGTGCCATCATCCCCAGTCTCAATCACCATCTCAGGGCACCCCGCAGGCAGGACGGGCCCCACACACCGGGGATTGAACCCTAGCATCTGCATTCTGCAGAAGCAGGCGCTTTAGTTCGCTGAGCTATCTGGCCAGCCCAAAAGTTGAGAAGGATTTTTTTTTTTTTTTTTTTTTGGTCTGGCTCAGGCTGCTTTAGGGGCAGGTCTGGTACAGCATGTGGAGCTGGAGATTGAACCACAGTCCCCTGCGCCTGACTTGGTTTGCCCCAAGCAGGCACTTAAACAACTAAGCTAACCTGCAAGCCCCCAACAATTCCATTTATAATAATACCAGAAAGAATAGAATCAGAATAGATTAACAAAAGAATGTAGGACTTATACCCAGAAAGCTGAACAGTATCATTAAAAGAAATTAAGACAAGTAAATGGATTCATAGGATCAGAGCCTGTATTTATAGGATCAAAAACCTCATATTCTTAAAATATCAATACTGCCCAAATTGTTGTAGAGATTTGCTACAATATTTATTAAAATCCTAGCTAGCTTCTTTGTAGAAACTAGTAAGATAATCTTAAAATTCATAAGGAGATGCA